GACCCCAGATAAGTTTATTAGGGTACACAATATTTTGGGGAACACAATACCACCACAACAGACCCATACCTGGCACTGTTACTGGGGCCACAAACCTGTGGCTAGACAAGTTGTAGGCCCTATGAGAGAACCTATTAATATTTTTCTGCTAAATGGGCATAGTATTAAAATGACTCCTGATGACTTATCAGACTTATTGTTATGACCATAGATCAATGTATCTCTCAACACTGATCAGAGAAGCTCTTATTTGTAATATATGTTGATTAACACAGAGATCCACAATGGGCCAGCATGTAGAGAATAAGAGATTGAGGAGTGCTCAGTCCTACATAGGACCCTTCTTGTAAAGATCAGGAAGAGCAAGAAAAGGGAGTATAAGAGCCATAAGCAGTAAGCGGCTATAAGGAAACAGTCTTCCAGACACAACAACTCACCTACACATATGAACTTTCAGCAGCTGTGACAAGTACATGACCTGTGCAAGCTCAATCCAGACCAACTCCCATTGTGAGGGTGTGAGATGCACACAAAGTCCTCCTAGAGCAGCTGTTGGTCATTGACAGCTGTCATGAGAAGGAGGCATTCATTTTCTTTAGTATGTGCCCATGGGATGCTGACTGAGCTCCAATGAATGGCGGTACGCCCAAGCGTATATGGGCAGCACAAACCAGACTGGAGAGGTGGCTCAGTGGCTACTAGTACTTGCTGCTCTTGCACAGGACTCCTGTTCAGTTCCCAGTAGCAACATGATGGCTCACAACAATCTGTAACTCCAGTTCCTGAAGGTCCAATGCCTTGTCTGACCTCTGTGGGCACCAAACACACATGTGATACACATACATACATGCTGGTAAAAACATGCATAAAATAAACAAATCTTTAAACATGTTTTAAATTGTACTTGATGGCTTAAGAGAAGAGGACACAAAGTTGAGTGGATATGAGTATGGGAAGATTGGAGAGGTGTTCAGCATGATCAAAGCACAATGTACAGAATTCTCAAATGGTAAAATACTTCAAGTACACATGACAAAGCAAATAACCCCGGTGTTCTTAGAATCTCATGGCAAACACTTCAACAACACCATGAAGAGCCATAAATCCTGACATAAAACATCAAGAAAACATCAGCCAGAAAAAGAGAATGTTCAGGAATATAAAAGAGAAAGTAATCATATTTATGTGGGAGAATTAAAAGGACTTCATGAAGTTGATTTTAAGGAGCAATAGTAACGAGAGAGAGAGAGAGAGAGAGAGAGAGAGAGAGAGAGAGAGAGAGAGAGAGAGAGATGTGCTGTAGGAACAGAAGGTGAGAAGAGCCAAAGCCATAGTAACTGCAAGTTATTTATTTACCAATCATCACTGTGGAGGGCTGTGCACATGCCGGTTTGGCTAGAATATAAAGCATATGTAAAACAGTGGGAGAAGACACAAACACAAGGAGACCCAGGAGAAAGCAGTGGATAGAGGGACCGAAACTAGAGACAGCTTTCCAAGGCTCCATCTGAGGAGCAAACAGCCAGGCTGTGGGATGGGTCACTCTGCTCCATAACATCTAACTAAGATTTGTTCCAGCTGTTATCCACACACTGTTAAATTTCCAATGTCATCATCAAGAAATTTGCTGATACCTGGGAGCAAAGTCATATGACTACTGACTTACTCCCTGCAGGCCTTGAGTACTGGGTTTCACACTCTTACATCTCTTGCTGTCCCTCCGCAGCCTCCAGCCATTTCTCCTCTTCTCCAGAATGGGGCTCCTAAAATTTTGCATTCATTCCTGAATCATTAATTACCCCTCACAGGCATATTAGTTCACAGTAGTATTATTCTTACAAATGTGAAAGGCTTTGCTTCATGTCCTTCTTAGGCTACTCTCCTAATTCTGTATTTCTCCTCATAGAAAAGTACTGAACCACTGTCTTTATTCAGTGAATCTAGTTTTTCACATCACATTGCTACAATTTAAAAAGAGTACTTATCAAAATAAAGAATGCATTCGATTTAATGAAATTAAGCTATCATCCTGTCCCCTGAGATCCTCAGAACCTGGCTGAGTGTGTGAATGTTTAGGAATTTAGAAAGGACAACCTAGTGAGATTGTACTTGCCTGCCAGTGATCCAAGAACAAATCAGAAGGGCACATTGAGGACCCTCTTCCATGAGGAGACTTGCCCCAGTCACCCACTTTGCCCCTGGTCTTTTTTGGTCTTATTTCTTTAAGAGTGTTTTCGCCTCTACAGGGAGCATCCGCAGGGAGGATCGAGTGTCAACACGCAGCACAGAGAGAGGAAGGAAGCCTGAGGACCAGGGCTCAGCAAGCCCCACATTTCTACAGAAGGTCTGGGATGAAGAATGAGAGGCTGTTCCCATCCAGAAGGATGGAGAAATGGGGTAAGCGTTCTGCTGCAGGGTCTCCCTGTGGTGCCTGAGGAGCAGCCCAGGGCTGCTGTCTGTGGAGGTGCATGTGCCCAAGTGTTCACCCCAAACAGGAGAAGACATAGCTCCACTCTCCACCCCCACTCGGCCTCTTGGTCTCCTGCTTGCCTCCCTTGACACATCACCTTTTGGCTCTTCTAACCTTCACATTAATTTTATAATAAATATAACATGAAAAATAGACAGCATATTTTATGATAAGGCTCTGTATTTTATAAGCAATATCTTAAACAACATGGAGTGCTTTGGGAGCATACATCTACACGGTTTGGAACCAGGTCCCAAAGAGGTATCCTACCTTCTTTCTCAGCAGCCTTGCTCACAATGTGGAATGTGGAAGCCATCCCACTGCCCATGGTGCCTGAATGGGTGGGCAATGTGTAGCATATACACAAATATCATCATTCTTAAAAAAGAAAAACTGACAGCCAGCACATAGTCCCACCTGGCTGAACCTTGAGGACATTATCCTCACTGAAATAAGACCCCCCGCAAAGAACAAATACTGCTGTATGAACTCAATAATAGAGGATTTTTAGATTAGATAAACTGAGAGACTGAGAGAGCAGTAGTTGCCAAGGACTGGGAGAAGAGAGCACTGGAAGCTATTTTTAATAGGTATAGCTTAGTTTACAGGTTGGAAGAGTGATGAGGTGCATTCTAGGGAAAACAACACACCATTATAAACGTATTTAATACCACTAAACTGCATCCCTAAAAACATCTAAGGTATTTTTATGTAATGTCAATTTAATCGGGAAGTTAACAGTTCCCTAGCCTGACTTCCATTCCTCGGATGAATATTGGCCTCTCTCTCTCTCTCTCTCTCTCTCTCTCTCTCTCTCTCTCACACACACACACACACACACACACACACACACACACTCACGCACGCACGCACGCGCACACACACATCATTCCTTTAGTGCACATTGATCTGTCAGTTTCGATAGAACCTTGAGCTGTCTGAGTGACCTTGTTGACTGATGTGTACTTGTTATTTTTCTCCTTTCCCAGACTCACAGCAAGATCATAAGATATCAGGAATCTATTAATGCTTTGTTTGTCCCTGTATGGCCAGTGCCTAGTAACAAAACTTGCCTCACAGAAGACTTTGATATATATGTATTAAGAACAAATACATATGAAAATGAGACTGAGATTTTTCCTAATTTCCATAAAAAGTTTTTGAAAAATCATCAGAGTCCCTTTTGGCTCCATCAGCTTTAGTAATGTCTCTGGGTGATGGAGAAGGCTACCCTCTTAAATTCCTTTAAGCCTCTCAAGCACACCATTGTCCCCCACCCCCACCCCTCTCATCTTCTAATCTCCTCCAGCCCCCTTCTCTGTGGCTACACACTTTTGAGGTGTTCTCCCAGGAGTTTCCTCCTCTCTAGCCCCTCTAACCCCCAGCAGCTTCCTACATCAGACACTGATTGGTACCCCCCCCCCCGCGTCTCCTCCACTCCCACACCCCGCATACATGGCCCCCTCTGGCTACCTTATCTCCCTCCTCTTCAGGGGGAGTAGTGAGTGAGTCTAATTTCTCCACGGATACTAATTACACATATCCTCAAAGACAAAATACCTACAATTTGTTTTGGTTTAAGCTGCATTTTTATAACTGATTGCTTTAAATGGGTGTTAAATTTAGGACTGTGCTCTCAGTTACAGAGAACGTGACATGTAGGCATAGCTCTCCCCATATGAATCAAATCTTACATTCCAGAAGAAAATGGAAATACACAGCTATGTGACTCTCTTCCTAGGGGCGTAGGCTCTAAGGAAGGAAAAGTTCTCTCTCTCTCTCTCTCTCTCTCTCTCTCTCTCTCTCTC